ATGTGCCGGGTATCCGGTAGATATCCGAAATCCGGCTTATCCGGTCTTTTTTCTGTTATCCGACTATCCGGCCGGATACTGGCTAAACTCCGGCCTGATTTGCGGATTTCGATTATAGAAGATTCCATTTAAAAATCTAGTTCATATATTTTTTTTTATAATCAAATTAAATAGTATCTAATTAGTAATTAGAGTAAAAAATTTATACATTTTTCATTAGAAGCATTTCCGCATTGCTGGCCAAGGACCCATTTCTATTTTCAACATAAAGAGATACTTCATTGCCAATGTAAACAAATTTGGGCTTCTTCTCCGATTTGTGAATTCCACATTAATGTTGTCACACAAAGGGGAGGGACCTACAGTTTTACTTGTATTTCTAAGAGAAGCTGTTTGCATGGCAGAAATACTCTCGGAGGTCTGCCATTGCCAGCCGAGGGACGACTGTTATTAGAAAAAACATTTTTTTTTTTTGTTTTATTCATATGTTGGCTTGAACCGGGCTTGAACGTTAGGCCCTGCGGAACGTTAGCGCGCACTGCTAACCGCTACACCACAGCGGCCGTCTATGATTCCACCAAATTAAAGGATCTTCTTGTCCGCGTATAAGGGGTAGCTGTAAATATTTCATCACTACAAATACTGGAATCACTATCAGAGCCGTTGACGATTTCCTCGAAGCGTTGCCAAATATCCTGGTCTCGCTCTTCAACAGAAGCATTGTCTAGAGTTGGGCCTCTTTCATTTGATTCAGCAGGTTTCTTCATGCTAACTGATTTATATTTTCGAATTATTTAGTTCAGCATCTACCCAGTTTTTAGATTTAGTTTAGATGAAGCCTTTCTGGCGATACGGGAAACGAAACGATATGTAACCATGCATATTAGTTCGATTTTCATCACATTAACAAATAAGAAATAAAAAATCAATTATGCGTTTTTTCTTAGCGGCATTCATTGTTGTTTATCTTTTGTCTTTGACGTTTCTCCTCTATTTACCAAAAATAATCGATAAATCCGGGTTGCAGACGGAGAAACTATTTTTTTAATACAGGATTATATCTTAACTTGGGTTTCAGAGGCGAAATTTGTATCCTTAATTACGTATTGGACTGTTCAGCTCGAAAAAGCAGAAATTCTAGCTAAACCAAAATATTGTGAAATTTATTGAGGCCAAGAGTCTACCGGATATCCGAATCCGGTTAGCCGGAAAAATCTCTATCCGGCACATCCCTAATAAATACATACATGTAAACATACTGGTCTCCCCTCTCACTGAGTTATTCAAATACCAAATTTCTAGCTTTGTGCAAAAAACTATAAAAATTAATTCTGCAATGTTTCACCAAAATTCAAAACCCCTTAATTAGAATATTTAGAAAAAAAAATTGGTTTGCAGTTTTGTAGCTCATTAAAATTGAGTATAATACCGTGCTGCTCATTTGCTTCTCTTTTAAAAATGGTCGAACATACTTACTTTGTATGAAAACATGCGCAACATCGTCAACCAAAAAAAATGGTCAAAAATTAAATGTAAGTCTTAGCGACTTCAAAATTGCACTTTATTATACTAAAATTTAAGGTTTTTTTAAAAAAATTTTGCGGTGTAAAAATCTCGAGAAAAATTGCCTACAAATTTGTGATATTACTACAAGGATGCTGTTTCAGGGCTAATACATCTAGGATCATTGATGATTGATCATTTTAAGATCTGTAAGTTTTTGTGGAAAAAAAATTGCAAAATTAATTTTTGTCCCGAATTCGGCTTCCATAAATACGGTCACGTATATATGAGCCGCTCAGCGTCTGTGGCAAACGACAGCGAGCATGTTGGCAAGCATGCTCGCACACATGTTCATCGTGTATGGCCAGTGTTAGCTGTATACTTACCGCCGACCACTTTACCGTCGTCCGCTGTAATTGTGGGTAGAGCTTAAATGTTTCATTGAAAAGGTACAAAAGAACACGAAGCATTTTCAACAGATCTATGACCTAGTCATGGGTACTGATTCATAGAAAACTCGTTACCGGAAAAAGGGAGATGATTTAGAAGAAAATAATCGAAAAGTTTGCTGAAAATCCGAGACGTTTGTTATTAGCGTAAAAATTATTAAATAAAAATATATGTATCAACAAAATTAAAATATGCACATATTTTTTAAATTAAAAAAATACTTATTGCTAAAAGGCGAACAGCATAACGCTAAGACCTCCTCGTTAGCAGATCTTTCAATTAATCTTTTGAAAGACCGTAAAGAGCTTTTAAAATAGTTGCCAGAATATACAACTGTCTTACAAAAGAATTTTGTCTTTCGAAATACTGTGGTGAGGTGGAAAACAGTTGCCAGAATCGCCCTGTAAGGCAAACAAAGCACAATTAATACTAATAGCGTTGCCACATCCGACTAATTTGCGGCCGTTTAAACATTACCCTGCAAAAATCGCGACTACTCCATGCATGCATGTAAAGAGTACTCCCGAAGGACCAAGGAGTACTCCAAAATTAACCACAATTCATATAAAAAATATGGTCCAATTAACATTGCGATGTCCTAGGGCAGGACCATATACTCCATCTCTGCATTACATCAGAGTAGCACAAAACTACTCCTAACATACTCCAATGACATTGTTGTTATATTTTTTCGTTTGTACACGCTTTTGTTCTTCACTTCGCAGATGCTTTTTTTGAAATGAATAAAAACCAAAAACAAAAATTAAAAATTACATGTTGCCTCTGACGACATTCGAACCCGAACATGCTGGGAGCTAAGAAATAATAGCTAGCATCTCTACACGTTTAGCTACAGCCAGACATGCAAATGTACTTTCAAATGCTTAACTTCAATCACATTTCGTTAAAACACGAGCAGTGATCGGATAACAATAAGCTGGTACAGAGACACGAGTTGGTCCGCTACAGCATGACAGAGGAGCACTTTTGTAAGTACTCCAATATACCACAAATAGACTACATGGTCCAACGATTTTTGCAGGGTATTTAAACTCTTAAAAACACACTTTATTCACATATTAAACTTATCACCGGCGCAAAAGTTTGCAGGGGCTCTATTCTGTAACTGTGAGAAAATGTAGTGTACACCGAGTGCCAAACTCACAACCAAAAACTCACCGACTAAAATTCAGTGAGTTTTTCGGAAGAGAAGTGTACATAATTTTGACAGTTAAAACTCATTCTCACACATGCTGAATCGCAAAATGAGAAAGTGTACACAATTTTGACAGCTAAAACTCATTCTCACTCTTCCTGAATCGCAAAATGAAGAGTGCACAATTTTCAGTGTACACTTGAAAACTCACAGTTACAGAATAGAGCCCCAGGTCTGTTACATACAGGTGCGCTTATACTCGTACATGCATACTAGGGATGTTGCGAATGTGGAATTTTAGACATCCGCGGATGCGAATGCGGATGTCTAACAGCTAACACCCGCGGATTCGGATGTGAATGTGGATGTTAAGTATTTTTAAGAAACAATTAGGTAAGTAAATTAAGATACTTAGGTAAATAAAAAAATGGAAAAGTTAGTATTTTTTAATAATGTTTAATTTATTTAGTACTTGAATTTAAAAATTGGAACATTATATGTAATAAAAAGTAATGAGAATTACATCGGGGCTGAAAATGTCGGATGTATCCTCCTGACTTTCATCTTCACTTGAAGAATCTAACATAATGGCGAGATCGTTGTTTAAACAGCGCTTACAAGCCAAACTAGATATCTCAGGTTTTTCAAAAGCTTTTTTCTTCATTATCATTCCTTTGGCTGTTTCAGAATTTGAAGAACCTGTAACGTTATCAGCGTTTTTTTGAACTTAGTTTTTGTAATTGATTTTTAATACTTTCTTCTGCGACTGGTTTGAAAAATTTGTGCTTATAGCGAGCTAAATAGGTGGATATAGAAAATAAATTTTTATTTTGCAGGAATGAAAATTTTACCAGAATTCTGTTTTCAATGTCGTGGCTGACAGCCGAATCGGATCAGAATATTGTTATTTAAAAAAGCACCCCGTTTTTTATAAGCATTTGAATTATTGGAATCACGGATGATGAGAGTCTCAGATAGTTACGTAATTCTTAACTAATTAAAGGTCAGACCTTTTCTGTTTATAGCCAGACGTTGACCATTTCTGCTGGAAATCCCTATTGAAGGAGCTTACTCTTTGACATTACATAGCAAAGAAGGGAGACGTAGGGGGAGAGTTTTACCACAGAAGTTTTTAGCCAAGGATCCAATGTATATCCCTATGAAAAAAATATTGCCCGACAAGTAAACAAAATTACTATTTTTAATATTTTTGCTAAAAATAAATTCCCCAAAGAACTCCATTTGAAATTATTGAAACGAATATATTGTTACCTTTATTCACAAAGGCCCTAACCCACACGTTTAGTGTGTTAGTACCAAAAACAACGGAGTTATGCCACTTTTTAAAATGCCGTATACGTATGAATGATTTGACTTTTGTAATGTTTTTTTGCTTCTCCTGTAAAATAAAAAATTTTCTGGTTAGGGAATTCGTGAATTAAGGTGACGCTATGTAACATCAAAAGCAAATAAAACAATACAGGATTACAATTAAAGTAATCGTTCATCAAACGAACTTGAATTACGATTACAGTCATCGTAATTTAAACTTTTTTAAAATTACGATTACTGTAATCGTAATCTATGTTCGTTCGATGAAGGATTACTGTAATCGTAATCTTGTTTTTTTATCTTGTTGGGATTACTGCAATCCTAATCGTTTAGTAATCGTAATCCTTATCGCCCAGCTCTGCCAGATATACATTTTATCGGTGCACTTGCACAACATTCACATTCGCAAAACCTCCGCATTGATTATTGCGAATGCGAATGTTAAAATTAATCGGGAAGCTCCGCGGTTGCGAATGCGAATGGGAATATTCTCAACAACCCTGATATATACATACTAGAAGAAAAATAAATATCTAAAATTGTTAAATTTTGTTTTTAGATCGTATCCTTTTGCGGCGTTTTCTAAAATCCATGTTCTACGATGTCGAGGAAACCAAAAAAATTATTGAATTGAACTACTCAATGCGAAACAAATATCCTCACTTATTTATCGATCGAGACCCCGATGATGATGGAATTAAGGCGATACGGGATGTAACGTAAGTAAAATTTTTGATTGTAGTTAAAAATTAATTAAAATACTCAAAGGATTTCTTAAAAGAAATTCAAAGCTTTCGCTAGGACTCAGTATTTGAAAAATTATAAAGAATCAAATCAATAGAAAATGTATAAATAGAATTTAAAAAAATATAAAAATAAAATATAAAGTCCGCGCCACAGGCTTCGAACCCGTGACCAACAACACGGCAGTCGAACACGCATCCATTCGACTACAGCAACTGTTGAGATAACGTGACATCAAAACTATGTACACATCATACGCTCGCTTACATTGCGATGCATCTTTTCGTCCAACCGTAGTTGTTAATCTTTTCTTGGTAATGTATTCCCATGTTCCCACTGGGACCATCTGATATATCTACATATGTATGGTTTTCTATAAAAAATTTCATGCGTTAAATAAAAATGTCTAAATTTTATTTGCCAATTCTATTTTTTTTTTTACGAAAGGAAATACATGCAAATTTAATCTTTAAATTTTCATCTTTTCAAGCAAAAGAAAATTAGTGTTTGCCGGCACATATGTACATATGTATATATCAGAACTGGGCGATAAGGATTACGATTACTAAACGATTAGGATTGCAGTTTAATTGTAATCCTGTATTGTTTTATTTGCCGGTTATACAAAGTTTATTTCGCCCAAACTACTTTACTTATTATTTTTATTTTAATATTAGTTTCTTTTATTTGTCTGTTTTTTAGATAAATACATATTATCCTTATATTATCGTTAAGCGCGTATTTATATTTCGCAAATTTATAGAATTACTTCGTTACTCAAAAGATTGTAATTAGAAAAATTTAAAATTTAAAATTATTGTAATCATTCATCGAACGAACTTAGATTACGATTATAGTAATTGTAATTTTAAAAAGTCGAAATTACGATTACTGCAATCGTCATCTAAGATGCCTTCGATGAACGATTACCGCAATCCTAATTTAGTAATTTTTGAAATGGCGATTAAAGTAATCGTAATCCTAGATGCAATCGATTACACATGTAATCCTTATCGCCCAGCTCTGGTGTATATATATATATGCATTTTTTCGTAGAATTGCTATTTATCATATCGCTAACAACAAAGATAAGAAAAGTTTAGTGTGGATTAGAGATGGGCACGGGACTAAATATTTAATCCTGACCCCGCCCATCCCGAAATTCGATTTTTAAGTCCCGAACCCGCACATCCCGACATTTTTCAGAATTGTACCGCGGGTCCCGTGGGTCCCGATATCTATCTCTAAAGCAGGCTACACACGGACAACAAATTGAAACGAGCGGTTGAGATTTCAACGTGTGTGGCGAGGTTTACAAACCGATCGAAGGTTCACAAAAATGTTTATGTCTTTCATATTAATTTTAAATAATAATGAAAGATCTGGCATCTTCCTATATATTTTTTTTGTATTCTTTTCGCCTCAATAAAACATTAAAAGTGCATATTTTAAACATCGCTTTAAAGGAAGATATTGTGAATTTGCGGGGGTTGCGGTTTTATCGGGAGTGTCGGGAAAGGATTTCGGTCACGTCCCGCCCGCCATATTTTACAGATCTTCCCGATACCGCCCATCCCGGCCAATTTTAAATCAGTACCGCGGGTCCCGCTATCCCGCGCCTATCTCTAGTGTGGATCCCTTATCCAACTCATTCAAAATATAAGCTACATTCGTAACTATTCGAATTCAGTGATAGCATGAATGCAATATTATAAAGGAAGGATACTTTGTCTTGTAGAAATAATTTGACCTTTTGGTTGCAAACCCCAAAATTAGCTTCTTAGCTATTTTAATTAAATTATGTTGTTTTGTACATAATAAATGATTTGTTTGATACTAAGCGATAAGCCTGCAGATTTACGATGCATGTTTCTCGAAAGTCAGAAAGAAAATAGGATAAATCTAAAGGTTTGATTATGCACACTTCGCATAACTTCGCACAATCACTGGTACCATTGCAATCGAAATGTCACTTAAGAAAATGTGAGGTAAAATCTAAACTCAACAGATCGCAAAGTTTTTACACGTTCTGATAATTTCTGGAGTACATACAAACTATATTCAAAGCACAGTTTTAAACTTATGCGAAGTTGTGTGAAGTAGGCATAATTAGACCATAAAGCGAAAAAAACCGACTTCAACTCTCATATAAAATATATATATATATATATATATATATCTCATGATCCACTGATCGGATCTTAACCACGGTTGACGTGGTCCAAAGTTATGCGGTAACATACATAAAAAATAAAAAATAAAATTAAAAAAAATAAAAAATATTCCGACGAACTGATAACCTCCTCCTTTTTTGGAAGTCGGTTAAAAAGTGAAAATATTTGTACAAAGAGAAATGTCAAAACAAATACAATACTTTACCGGGCCGTTACACATTCAATTTTCCCTTTCAATTTTCAATACTCTCACACTTTTTCACTAACACACTCTTATGTATTGCTTGAATGGGCAACTTGCTTTCAATTTTTCCCTTTCAATTGAGTTTCAATTTTGCTTTCAATTTTGATCAGCTTTTCAGCATTGGCATGCGAATTTTGTGAAAATAAAAAAATAATAAGCTTATGCATGTTAAAATGTTAATCTACAATGGAATTAAAATGGAAAATGTTCTTCAGAAGCTAGTTAGTTACATTGTTTTCCTGAAGGCGACATGTTGATAATGAAATAGCTTCTCAAATTGAATGCAGTCTACGTAATGACTTTCAATTTTGATGATTTTTGACAAGCAATGTGTGTGAGGAAATTGAAAGGCAAAACTGATTGTGTGTCGTCAGCGTGAAAATTAAAAAAACATATCCTTAACAATACCATTTTTCAGAGAGTTGATACCTCTGCCAGGCCTAACACCAGAGGGCCATAAATTGCTATTCTTTCGTCTAGGCGACAAAGATCCTAAAAAGGTAGTACTTAAGAGGATAAACTTAGCGCCCAGCGGTTTTTACAGTAAATATTTCCATTTCAATTTCAGATGAATAGTATTGAAGAGTGTAAGACATTTTTTATGCTTGCTGACTGCCGTTTCACCGACCTCGATCTTGAAGAACCAACACTACGAAAGGTAAAGGAATCACAAGAAACTGCCGATGCAGAGACTGGCACCAAAACTGAAAATGAAATTGAAGATGAGTCGCTGGATGATAATATTATAGCAAATGGCGAAGTGCAGATTTGTGACATAGACGGATATACTCTATCCCACATGGCACGCATTTCTTTTACAATATTACGCATGTATATGAATTTCTTACAAGAGGCATATCCGGTGCGTTTGCGCGCCATGCACATCATCAATTGTCCACCATTTCTAAACAAAATGATCGCTATTGTCAGGCCCTTCGTGCGTGATGAGGTTTATAAAATGGTATGCACAAGCAATGCTGAAGTATTGATGAGATGTACAGATGTATCTATGTGAATTTTTTTTTTTTTACTTTACTCATTTACAGATTCATTTCCACACCGAGGGCATAGAGAGTTTATTTGAACATGTCCCGCGCGATTTATTGCCCAACGAATATGGCGGCAAAGCGGGTACAGTATTTGAATTGAAACAGAAATGGACAGAGGAATTGTCAATTAAGAGGTGAGCAAGAAATAATTTATGTAAACAATACTGCAGACAGTTTACTTAATACTTTAAATTTATTTTTTTAGGAGTTATTTAATGGATCCGAAGCACTGGAAAACGGAACAAAGTCAAAACTCGCGCCGTTGGTATTGGTTTTAGCGACACACATGTATAGTACTTGTGTACATGCATGCATATGACCAGCATATGTTAGTAAATATTTATATTTTACAGTTTTACATGATGTGTTAAAAGAGCAACTTATGACGTATGTAATTATGTGATAGTATGTGACTAAAATGAGTTCTTGGGTTTTTATATATAAAATAGATTAAAGGGTTGAGATGTTACTATAGTGCTGGGTAACGCACCAAGGTGTTGCGCTATTCTGTTGATACACTAATTGGCAACACTTTAGCTCAATCGCGCCAGTAACTCTAATAACACAAGTAACTTCAGTAGCTGAAATATAGTATGTTCCTTTGAACTTCGGAGTAAAACCTGGGGAACTGTCAAACTACAATTTTACTCTCTTGTGTGAGAGTAAAACGATAACAGGTGCAGAAGTGTACGGGAACGCAAAAAGCACTACTTCCTTCAAAAACGTCAGTCGGTTTGTTTACATGCCATTGGTACAACACTGATTTGGCTGAAAGATCACTAAATAATTATTAAAATCTATACAATTAAGAATAATTACGTACATATTCAAATATTTCGTGGCTTACTTCCATTTTTTAACAAACGCAAGGTTCTTTGCTTTCATCGCGTTCTGTTTTTGTTTACAAATACAACCCTGCCCATTGTTTGACACTTTTCATAAACTTACAGGAAGAAAAACTCCGGAATAAATCCTGTAACTTCTGACTAGGTACAGTTGCTCAGTTACTCTCTCAAAAGTGTTCCCACTTACAGGTTTTATGTCTATAGGAACGACTTCCTGTAAGTTCTGACTAAATCCTTTAAACCGGACTGCTATTGGAACAGACTTAAGCTAAATATACACGGTAGAGAAATCTTGCTAGAGTTTTACTGTAATAAAAATCTCTTCTCTCAATTAAGTTTACACGGTAGAGCAACTCTATGAGATATTCACTCAAGCTAAAGTCAAAATAGAGAAATCTCAAGTTTTCGCTATCACGTATTCTAACGCTGTGTACACGGTAGACACCTGTTACCTCACGCCTAGGGTTAGTTTTCTATCTCGAATTGGTGTTAACGCGTGGTGTATGTATATATGTATATCAGCGCTGCGATGTAGAAAATAAATCCGCGGACCGCTAACCCTTCGTCGATTTGACAGCATTCGTCTATTGACGTCATAAAATAATTTTTTCGTCAATTAAATTTTCAAATTGTACTTCTTTGCCGAAAAAATTTTACCTTAAAGTAGATAAATGTACCTAAAGATTAAATATGTTTTTTATGTGTATAAATTTTTGATAGTGGGTAGCAACCTCCCTCTTCGGCACTATGTCTACTTTTGGACTTACACCAAACAATATTTTCTATTAAAAATTTCGTTGAAAGCAGTTCCAACCAAAACTATACATGTAGGTATTCACCAAGTTGAGCAAGTGGTCTGGTACTCTGGCAACTGTCGTTGCTTGAGCTAATCTGCTCTTTTGCCAGAGTGCCAGGCCATATGCTCAATTTGGTGAATACCCCTTATGTTTTAACCAATGTGTATGCCCCTTTGCAAAGGAGGGAGGATATTGGAAAAGCCGTTGAAATGCCACTGAAAGTACGAGAAAATGTCCCGATAAGATAGCTGGTTACGTTCTAAATGTACCTAAAATGGTGTTCTTGTACCGAATAAACAATTTAAGGTCGAAGTCATTCCAAAATTTAACAAACTGTGATGAAACTCATTGTCAAGATTTTACCATACTTATCGAACAAAAACTCTATTTAGCTTGCCAAATAAAACGTAGAGTTTTTGTAGAGTTTTCGATTTAGTTGCGGTGAATAACTCTCACGTAGACTGTGTAGGTGAGTCTCTCGTAGAGCTCTATTGAGTGTTTAAATGTCTCTAGCGAGATGTTTGTCTAAATCTCGCGTTTTTTCACTACCGTGTATACTTAGCTTAATAGCATACAGAACAATGGTTGATCGCACTGCAAAACAGTCTAATTTTTGGTTTTTAGAATAATTTTCTGAAAATTCACTCAAACGACACGACATCATTTGAAGATCAAAAGCAAAATCAGGTTGCTTTGTAACTGCAGCTGAAACAAAAGAAGACAGAATGGCGAGACTGCCCTTATCTTTCGCGCCGATACCGGCCATGGCACTTGCTTTTTGGTATCAGCGCCCGAAAATTTGCTGCGTTACCCAAAACTGTTGCCGCATGATACATTCATATACACATGTATGTCTAATATTTATGTTAAAAATTGTGTTTTAAACGGGGACCGAAAATAATTATTAAATACCAAAATTTTTATTTTTAGATCATTGCAGAATCGCTCTGAATCCTTTATAATCTAAAAATTTTGTTATGTAAATAACGGTTATAAGTAGTATATTTAATTTATCCTGAAAAATAAAAACCCAATTGGGGTGTTTAAATCTAGTAAAACTGTCAAAAACTAAGAATACTGAAAAGTACGGGATCGCTTTCTACTAAAAAAGGGTAACTTCTGACAACGTCAACATAACCTCAAAATTTTGTTTGTAAAATGTTGCTTATTTCGTATGTAAACACACTCAGCTCACATTGCAATGCATTAACATACATTACAATTTGGTTGTCAAACACACTACAGCTGGACGTTTGACACATTTACCAGAATTTACTAGCAAAAAATCTTCGGCGTAAAACTGGTAGATGCCAGAGAACAGAGTTCGGGATCGATTTCCAGTAAAATCTGAAAAATTCTGTAAAAAATGGTAAGTTCGGACTCATACGGGATCACAACTTATGATTTTTATTATAAAGATCAGCTGCATTTTTTCGTAAGCGAGCGACAATAGAACGCTCAACTCGGGTAAAATTTCCTTTTAGCTACTTAAGCAACCCTGTTAGTAGCTGGTAACAAACCTGTGATTAGTTTAACGGGATTTAAATACAAAAACCAATTTAAATGAGTAATTATGCGAGGTATTTGCGTAATATATATACTTATTTAAAGTATAAGTCACGTATATAAGGAAACAAAAATTTGCATCTCGACTTTCCCATTAACAATTTACAATAGATCAATTTTTTCACTTAACAACACTACCCTTCAGGTCGCGTATTTTTTAACCAACCTGGCTGAGCTCGGATAAGTAGCCGAGTTTGTGTTGTTGCTTTGCGTGTATTTGAGTAGTCCACTTGCAAACAGCGCACATAGGTAGATTTTCAAGTTTTATGCGGCAAAAAATATTTTATTGCCTCTATCTACTCAAAATTGTTCATTAAATGTAAAATTGAAATAATTTGTATTACAGATAGGTTATATTAATAAAATATATATATTAGCCAATAATTTACTATTTAAAATATATTGACTACCTTTATTTATAAAATGTGTGTACCCTATAATGCACAATATATAAACCAAAATCATTGGTTTATTATTTTTTGTTTCTAGCAGTAGACGGAATTTCGCAACGTTCCGAATAAATAAAAAACGATTTTCCGTACGTTTCCAAGGCGGTAAAAAAATACGTATAATTCTCGTCAAGAAATTGATATCATAAATTTTGTGTTTCTAGTTCAGCTTTCGGCACTCGAAAATTTTACCTCAAAGAGGTGTTTTATTTGATTTAATTTAGAGGTTAAAAATAATATTGGAAACCATATCTAGTGGCTACGAAATTGGTTCTACAAAATACGACGAATATGCATTGGACACCGCCAAATTACTTCGATGGACGGCCAGAGCGAAAGTGTCTTGAATTGGAAGTTCAAACGTCCCATTTAACCAAGACTGATTAGCTTTTAGGAAAATATCTTCCTTTCTATGAGCTTTAAGCCACTTTTTCATAAGTGTTGCTTTGAAATAAGATAGGTTTTTCTTTAAATTTTTCATATTTTCAGCTGAGTAAGCATGAGAAGACAATAGGTGATTTTCTAAGAAATCTAATTTTTCGACCAACGATGCCAAGTTCTCTCCTTGCATTTGATCGTTGAGATATTGGCGAGTTACTTTTCTTGTGCCTGACGAGCTGTCACCACCTACATTAACCAAAATGTGCCTTAGAATTGAAAACAATACAACTCTTTTTTTATTGTAACTTTCGTACAAGCGTGTAAGAAACCCTCTATCTAACAAAACCGTAACTATCCGCAACTGAATTTTATGTAAGGAACAAACTAATTGTACTAGGTATCATGTTCAAAACTAATTTCCAGGCGATCGGACGCGGAAACGTACCAAAACTGGTTTTGAACACAAAAAAGTATCATTTATTTTTGTAGACAATATCCTAACTAAAAAGGGTTCAAACTATACATTTACAATTATTGAAAATCATAAACACCGGTAACGAATATTAATAATCACCAGAAGTGTCAGAATCCATCACAATTACCTAACTCAATTGTGTTTAAATTAAAAATATTCACGCTAAAACAGGCGATTACACAAAAGTGAAAAAAACTATAATGTGCGTTTCAGATATAGCTAAGTTCCGACTACCTGACAGCAGGCGCAAAGTGTGGGACAGAGGGGAGGGGTGGAATTATTGTTTCCCAGCCTATTTTTAAGCTGTGGGTGCGCTTTTTTATGTAATTGTAACAACTATCTAAAACCCAATTATGGCCGGATAATTAGCTAAAATCTACCTATGTACAGCGTTATGTGATTTTATAATAGAATGGCATAAATTTGAAAAAACGACTACGACAACAAGTAACATTCAAACTGAATCTTTTTTATTATTACCTGAAAAGTTGGATAAATAAGAGCCTTATAAAATTATACCATGACATAAGATAACATTAACAGTCTATACGACCTAAAGCAGTTTTCTAGGTTCATCAGAAGATGGATACTTTTGAAAGTTTATAAATAAGTATGATAGCGACTTTTGGAAGAAGAGTTAACATTTTATGCTATTTTTTCAGAATATAAAAAGATTTTGCACTGTGTTGTTAGTGGACATGAAACTACTTTAAATACTGGTACGTAATCCACCAAAAACTAAAAATCGAAAAACTTTTACATAGCGCACTTTGCAAGTGGACTACTCATTTCATCATTTAAGCGAGTGTTCTTTTGTAGCTCGGTTGCAAAAGAATGCACCTATCATAACCGTCCATCCCTGGTTTTAAGTTATATGTACTTACATACATACGAGAGTGGTAAGCCCCGACGTCTTGAATTTACTCTTATTTGCCTATTTAATCTCTTTAATCAATAAGTCTCTAAGTAGAACAATAAGAAGCAATTAATAAATATGTTTCCTTCCCAAAAAGACATCTATTTAAATAATACTGGTAGTTATATCTACATGTGTCAACTGCTGGATGCGTAAATTCGCCGCTAGTCCGAAACTACCCAATCCAATTCTTTAATGGTTCTCATTTTGTTGAGAGCATCGTTGTTAGATTGACGTTTTTCGATGTTGCAAAATGGGCTTGAAGTTCTGCCGCTAAAAGTAGGCGTGGCAACTCTTTCACCTAAACTTTGCCAAGAACTTTCGTTAGATTTGGATAT